GATAGGAAGAAGAAATCAAGTGGAACGTCCATGGAAGAGGTTGTAAGGAGAGGGACGTTCCTTCCTTTTGAACCGCTAGTGATGACTTTTCACAACGTGAGCTACTTCGTTGAGATGCCAAAGGTATATTTTTCCTCCCTGTTCAGGTCTGTTTATTAACTGCTTATGTTGAACTAGCACCCTGCTGTTATGGTTTCAGGAAATGCGTCATGGTAAATCTGAGACACATCTGCAGCTACTATCAGAAGTGAGCGGAATTTTCTCACCCGGTATTCTGACTGCGATTGTGGGTTCGAGTGGGGCTGGGAAAACTACGCTACTCGATGTGCTTGCCGGAAGGAAAACTGGTGGATACATAACTGGGGATATAAAGATAGCAGGACATCCTAAAGTGCAGAGCACATTTGCTAGGATTTCGGGATATGTTGAGCAAAACGACATCCATTCTCCTCAAGTCACTGTTGAGGAATCTCTCTGGTTTTCTTCTGCTCTCCGGCTCCCCAAAGAAGTCACCAAAGCAGAAAGACAAGTGAGTTTTTTTTTACTTTTTGTTTAGAAAATATTGGTCCCTCCCACTTTTAACAACTTGTTTTATTCTATTGCAGGAATTTGTTGAACAAGTAATGAGGCTGGTAGAGCTTGATACGTTAAGACTTGCTTTGGTTGGGTTGCCGGGTAGTTCTGGTTTATCAAGAGAGCAAAGAAAACGCTTGACAATCGCTGTAGAGCTAGTTGCGAATCCCTCCATAATTTTCATGGACGAACCAACATCTGGGCTTGATGCAAGAGCTGCAGCCGTGGTGATGCGAACTATGCGCAATACTGTGGACACAGGACGGACTGTGGTTTGCACCATTCATCAGCCGAGTATAGACATATTTGAATCATTCGATGAGGTTGTTCATGCAATTTGTTCTGGAGTAAATACCTTGTTAGGACGATTATGTTGCTTTTGCTTCCGAATATCTGATATCATGTTGGTTGTTACGGCAGCTGCTTCTCATGAAGCAAGGAGGAAAGATCATCTATGGTGGGCAGCGTGGTCTCTACTCCCGGACTCTAATTGACTATTTTCAGGTAATGCTGCAAAAGCCTGAGTTGTTTCAAGAAAGGGTCAGAGAATTGAAGTTAAAATTATTTGCTTGGTTAGGGAATTGGCGGGATTCATCCGATTCCGAATGGCTATAACCCTGCAACCTGGATGCTAGAAATTACTTCTACTAACGTTGAACAGAGGATGCATCTAGACTTCGCACAGTCGTACAGAACGTCTCAGCAGTTCCGGTAATCCCAAAATGTTTTGTGGTAGATCACAGGTAAGCCCGAGCTGAAGTGCTGTTAAAGTTCTTGTTTGAGGGTTTTCTTGTTTTTTCTCCAGGGACGTCGAAGCTTCAATTCTTAGTTCGAGTGCCCCTCCTCCTGCCTCCCAACTATTAAACTTTTCCTCTCCATATGCGCATGACCTATTGTCCCAGTTCCGGATTTGCTTACGAAAGCAAATGCTTGTCTACTGGAGAAGCCCACAGTACAATGCAGTAAGGTTGCTTCTAACTGTGGTTGTTGCTTTGATATTAGGCACCCAGTTCTGGGACATTGGTTCGCGGAGGTAATTGTCGCAATCCCTTTTCCCCTCCTGAAGAACCGTCATCAGCATCATGCCTAACATTTCCCTCTTAATAAAATGTTAGGGACACAACACGCACTTTGTTCACTGTAATGGGAGCTTTGTACTCCGCTTGCGTAATCCTCGGAGTTAGTAACGCGGCTGCGGTGCAGGCTGGAGTATCAACTGAGAGAACAGTGTTCTACCGAGAGAAGGCGGCAGGGATGTACTCTCCCCTTGCTTATGCTGCAGCACAGGTTGGTTCCGATTTCTATAATCCTCTTTTCGCATGATTGGAGGAAGTCTTTGACCAATCTTTCTTTCGGGTCACAGGGCATTGTGGAGATCCCATACATTGTTGTACAGACAATTCTGTACAGCATCATTACGTACTTCATGATTAATTTCGAGCGAGATGCTGGTAAACCTCTGATCTTCTTACACTTTGTTTTCGCCTTGAGAAGCAAGTAACCTTTGCCTTCTTCTTTCTTGTTTTGGCACAGGGAAGTTCTTCACGTACGTGGTCTTCATGTTCCTCACATTCACCTACTTCACATTCTTCGGGATGATGGCTGTCGGGCTCACCGATACCCAGAGCCTCTCCGCGGTGGTGTCTGCAGTATTCTACACTTTTTGCGACCTTCTCTCCGGTTTCCTCATCTCCAAGCAGGTAACCTAGCAGGGAGATATCATAATGGTGGATTTTGCAAAACAGCTGGTTTTGTATTCAGACTCTTTTTTCGCTCTCAGTTCGTGCCAGGGTGGTGGATCTGGCTCTACTACATCTGCCCCGTGGCGTGGACCCTGCAAGGGATCATCTCGTCGCAGCTCGGTGACGTGGAGACCGTGATCGAAGGGCCAGGGTTCCGCGGCTCGGTGAAAGATTATCTGAAGGAGTACTATGGGTACGGGACCAACATGGTTGGACCTTCGGTCGGGGTGCTCGTCTGCTTCAGCGTCCTCTTCTTCTCTGCCTATGCCGCGTCTTTGAAATTCATCAACTTCCAGAGGAGATGATAATATAAGGAGAGTGAATGGTAACTTGGCAAGCAAGCATCCAAGTAAACTACTTTGGGCTTCCTACAATCGGCCCATTCAAATACTTGGGCCTGTTCGCGCTTTTTCCAGCAAAGAGCTGTTTCAACGTTGGGCCACACTGGGCCCGGATGACACTGGCATGGGTTTGATATTTTTTTCTTCTCCACTCTTGTCAATAATTGCCAGGGTATGACCTGGTTATCAGTTAATCTTAATCTCATTTTAATAATAATAATAATGAGAGGTTCGATGTTTCACTCCATTAGCAGAGTTGACAGCCCTATTACTTGATCAAACCCAGAAAACCGATTTATTAATATTGCTTATTTAAATATTTATATTTTAATGAACCAGTGTAATATAAATATATGTATTGTCATAATAGATGTATTTTTCCTGCGTAATTCAATAAATGTATTTTATGGATTGATTTACATAAAGTAATTTATGGGGGAATGCAACATTTACTCTACTTTTAACGAACAAGAGCTTGGTCTAGTGGTAACACCACTAGCCTAGAACCTGGAGGTCCCAGGTTCGAATCCATTAAGTAGTACCTTAATAGCAACAAAATAAATATATATCACCCTTATCCAAAAAAAAAAAAACATTTACTCTACTTTTAATACAGGAGCTGATTAAATTAAAAAGAAAAAAGCACTCAAATCTAAAATCAACGAAAATTTTGGTTGAGATTGTAATTCATCATTTTTGTTGATTGTAGGTGGCATCTATATAGAACAATGCATGTATTTATAATTTCACACTTTCGAATGGTGTATCTTGAATAATACATGTATTCAATAATTACAACTTTTATGATCGCAACTTGCTAACGGCTCATTGAACAAAATTCATCATGAAAATAATTCTTTTCTTCTAAAAAAGGCGTTGCGAATACAGATCCCAATTAACCTGTTTTCCCCAATTTTCCAATCAACTCTTCTTATTATTGGACAATACTCAAAAGAGGACGACGTTGCATTTCAAATCAGTGCACATTATATTATATAAACGTTATACATTAAAAACATGATACATTGTCGCCTTTTAAGTTAACGATGTTGTATGTGTCGACGTGACCATATCCAACAGCAAAAAAGACAATATAGAGGAACACTCACACAGACAAATGAGCTAGTTGAAATGTTGAATGAACAAATTGTTGTTGCTGTTTTAAGCAAAGCCTAATTAATTTCACTAGGCTGGCAGGCTGTCGTGTTTCGGGTTCGGTTTTGGGTTAGTCAACCCACACATCGACAGACAGAAACAGAGCACAGAACAGAGACAGAGGAATTCTGTTTTTCTCATTTTTTTCGAAATTTACAAACAGAGGAAGAAAGAAGAAGAAAAAAAAGGACAAGCCGCAGTCAGGCCGTGCCTCGTACGCTGTTCATTCATTTCATTAAATTTCCCGCCAGCCAGCCAGCCTCTGGGTTTGGTTCCTCTGCTCTTGCACGACTTCACACTCTCACGTTGACTCTTTCCCCCTTTGACCCACAACCCCAAAAGAACACAAAACACAGTCACACACAAAGCTGCTTCAATTCAATTCAAAGTTGAAACCCAACCAGGCTAGCAGCAGCATCTCCCTTTGTGTCCTTTTTTTCTGAAAGGAAAGCAGGAAATTTGACAGCCAAACAAACAACACTCTTTTAGCTGTGCGCCAGAGGCTCTGCCAGGCGACAAAGTACACACTTCTTCTGCTCAGAAACAACAGCAAGCAGCAATTAAACTTACACAGAGAACCCAATGCCATCTTTGATCACTCTGCTCTCTAGTGTTTGATTGCTTGTTTCTTTTTTTATGATTAGCCATTGTGGTTACAAGCTGGTTTGGTCCTCATTGGGAGAATATGGTTTGATGTCAAAGTTGAAAGTTGTGGTTAGACTAATGTTTTGTTTAGTGTATCTGCTTTGATATGTTGAGGTGAAAAAGTCAGACAATGATATGAAAGGGCCAAAAAAAAAAAAACACGGCTTGATTGTAGTAACAAAAGAAGGGAATTAATAAACTATGGTGGACTTTAGACACAACTATCAAAGCCATGTGAAATTCTTTGTGTTTTGTATCGTGTCATTATGTGTGTTCCACTTTTCTCTTCTGTCAATTTGATTCATCATGTTTTTTTTGTATTGCTCGTAATTGTATTTGCGATCTTACAAAAACGATAAGCAATAGTTTGGATTTTTCGAGTTCAAATTTTACGATTAATGTTGCTCGACCACAAGATGTACACATAAACAAAAGGAAATATCCACAAATTCAATCTTTTCCCTATTCTTCTTAGTTGATGGTGGCTTTACTACACTCAGTGCTTTCATATGATGGTTGGTATCTATAATTTAGATTGTACGACAGTCAACTTCATATTACTAGATTAATCTCTAAAAATGATTGATGGTTTCACGAAATTAACAAACTTAACAGTTAAACCTAGATTCTATGACAAGGAACGGATGGACTAGAAAATGAAAAACGTCAATATCTCTCTGAATTTTGTTGACATTGACACAAAAGTCATAAAAACAAAAACATATCTTTCATAAAAACATATTGTTAACATCAGTTTTCTGCCGCTTTATTGGCCTCGCGACTCCAATCACGTCATCTGAGGCGATGGTGGTGCCGCTGAGACTATTGCTCTCGCTCTCCGATTTGCCACCGGTAGATTCCCAATTGAGAACACTCAACGGAGTTCTTCTAATACTAGACTTCGTATAATCTTCGGTCAAACAACCACACATAATTGTTTCTTGCACATGATTCAAGCACCTCGATAAATTGTCCTGTGACAATAATTTAAACAAAATTAACAAAATTGGTAAGTGCAAATTAGCAAAAGGTAACATTACATTTCAATTTTTTGGTAATAACTTTATAGCTCTAGTTCACTTCTACCGATCGATAATGATTCGGTCTACAACAAACCAAATTAGATCAATCGATGTTTTGATAAAATCAAATTGAACCAGATAAATAGCAAGTCGATTATAGTTTTATAACTTTTAAAAAAATTAAACAAAAACACGTACCAAATCAATTGAATTTGACAGATTACCCTTTTGTTTAGACGATTTCGTTTTCTTTTTGGCCTTTGTTTTAGGTAATCATACCCAACTTGATCCGGTTTTAAATTGAACAGAACCATTTATGCCCTTATAGTTAAACTTATGGATGGAAAAATAAAATAAATAAAAAATGTTACACACCGTGTTTACACAATCACAAGAGGAAATGGAGCGCTCGAAGGAATGGAATTGGAGAGGGAACAATTCCTGACACGCTGCAAGAAGCGCAGACGCCGCCACCGCCGACGGCCTGAACTCCAGCAGCTTCATCTCTGTTTTTGCCAAAGTCCACGCAGTAAAAAACACAAGAACAAAGATAACGACAGGAAAGTGAAACAGTAAATAAATTTTGCTCTGTTTTTGCTCTTTTTACCGTTTTGGGTTTTGAAGATGATATCTTGGGCACGGGCTTTCAGAGCTCGTTGTTTCAGTGCTTGCTCCGACGCCGTCGTATCGAAGGATAACGAGAAGTACTCAAGGAAAGAGAAGGGGGTTATCGATCTCATCCGCCATTGAAGAGCGTGGAGAATCATCACCTCCATCCTGTTAATCGTCTTCTCGTCGAAACCAAAACACCCTTCTCTCTGTTTTTTTCCCCCAACCCAAATCAGTAAAATTCGTACTCGACCAAACACGGATTCGAGAAAAAAGAACAGAGAGATTTTCTCTAACAGGTTGTTTTTCGTTACCTGAAAATCAGAGGCTGAGAAATCCGAATTCCTCATCTTGGAAGCTAACGAGAGGCAGGATATGACAACGAGTCGTACAACCCATGGCTTGTTTTCCTTGAAAATAATAAACGGCAATCAGAAATTCCTCACCGGAAGAAGGAAAAAAACAGAGCAAGGCAAAAACAGAGCGAGGGAATTTTACTACGATTGAGTACCATGTTTTCGAGCCGGGAGGCGAAACGATCCATGTAATTAACGGCGAGGTAGGGCAAAAAAGGGTCGGAATAATCAGCCTGGGAAACGATTCTGATGGCTTCCCGACGAAATAAGGCGTAAGAAACAGAGGTTTTGAGGAAGTCTGGTGACGGCATGTGATCGGACTCTGAAGAAAAGAGGAGAAGTGGGGTCGTTGTGGAATCGGAATCCTTGGAGCTTGAAATGCTCGTTAATGGGTTTTCGAGATCGAACTCCATTGTTTCAGAAAGCTCAGAGCTTTTTGAAGCAGGGACAAAATGGTTTAAGTAGGCAATGGTAAAGAGGGAAAACAGAGGGACAGAGAGATAGAAAGATAGAAGAGAGGACGGAGAGAGTGAAAAGAAGGATAGGTGAGAAATAAATAAATAAGAAAAATAAAAGCCGTTCATCATGAATTTAATAATTATGATTTTCCCTGTTTCATTTCGTGGATTTGTTTTTGGTTAGCTTATCACTAATTTTGATGGTACAAATGGAAATTTCTACAGTTGGATATGTGTATATAAATTAGTAATGAATTTAATTTTTTATTTTATGGAGAATTCATCGCAGAGTGTTTTCGTTCAAAACGTTAAATGAATACTTTGAAAATCGATGTAGTGGAACTTGAAAATACAAAATTTTCTAAATCAATTGAAAATGTATTATCGAGATATATATTTTGTACACGAACCCTTTTAAAAAGTTTCAACATTTGATTAACGCTCATGTTGAATTAATCGACATCGTAATTCATTATCGAATAATTTTATTCAAATAATAAATCTTAAACATGTTTACTAAGGATAGAGTTGTGGCACAAAACATATTAGGGAAAAGAGCTAGGGTAATTTGGATGTATAATGATTGAGAAAGAAACTTCCACTTTTGTCTTTAGCATAAAATAAGAATGATAATCAAACCAAAAGGAAAGGAAAGTAATAGGGCTTTTTTTTGGACTTTTACTCAAGGAGGAGGAAAATGAAGCTTAAAATTACCTGCACATAGAGGCAAATGAGATTTACCATAATGCTGCTAATTTTCCAACTATTAGGTGGCTGACTCCACTCATGGAAAATTTCTGGGTTCCACAACTACGACTATGTTAGTGAAAAGTGAATGGATTTGTGTTTACAATTACAACTGACAGCAAGGTTTGGATTGGAGGGGAAAATAGACAATTCAATTGCAAACTGTTTGTCACGATTTAATTTTACACTCCTCGATCCAGCATCTCGCTCGTTATTATGATTGTAACGTTTACAGGTATTGTCTGTGCACCTCGTATGCGCGACGGCGACGACATCCATACATTCTGATCATTTGAATATGACATCTCCACATTTGCATCCTCTCATATAGGTGCCTAAATAACAACTATAGAAGGGGGGGAAAACAACATATGAACAATGAAACCAAATTGTTTGCTTGATGGACGAATAAAAGTCTAATCAAATAGGAAAATCAATATACAAGTAAACATTACTGATAATATATATAGATAGCTAAGAAAGGTATACGTCAAGAACATATTATGAGAGACGACGAGACAGGACCAGTAGAAACGACAACCCGTACAATTACACCGTCTGTTTACACGTTCAATTATATCTACGTAAAAATCGGCGATCAATATAGGACGGTATGAGACTGGGCGAGGCGAACCAAAGACCTACTATACCCAACGACTACTGATATATAAGTTGATGTAATCATCTTTACAAAATGAAAAATAGTTCTTCTTTTTTTTTTTAGCCTTGAATCAAATTTCGAGCATCCATATATACAATACCCATCTTTTACCATGGATATTGGGAACTTCCAACCAAAACCAGTCAAGTAGCTAGAATTTACAGCGAGTGGAGAGTTTCCTTTTTGGCACGGCTAGCTGGAAGTTGGCTGGTTGCAGCTCGTCATTATTCACGTCCATTGATATAACGTGTATGGACGCGAAACGACGACGTAGAGGGTGGGCACATATCTAGATAATAAATAAAAGCCGAATGATGAAAACTGTTGCTCCATTTCAAATTTCCTGCAACGAGAGTGATTATAGGAAGGACATTTTGGTCTTCACAATTGCTTATTTTCTTATTTATTTATTCATAAAAAAGGCATGCACTGGGATTTGAACCTTGGTCTCTTTAAAGGCAAGCAAGGATCATAACCAATCACACTAAGTATATTTGTTGTATCTATTTAAATTCAAACATACACGAACCTAAATTATGAAAATCATATGACTTTTTTAACGATTAGTTGGCCACTGAATCTCCCGTAAGTACTTATTTGGTGTTTTAATACTTTGATTATTTTAGTTGTAGTTTAATACTTAATTTAAATTTCTATCTATTTTATAAATATACAATAACCCTAAAATTGAAGCCCAAATATCACTGGTTCGAATATTGCATATCGAATTGCAATATTAAACATGTAGAAGCAATATCGACTTCTTAAATTAATATTATTTTTCAGAATTACTATGGAGAAATTATATCTTTGTGCAAACTATATGAGACTGGTTCTTTTAATGTTTTAGTCGGGATAACCGCTACATTTTAAACTTCTTCATAATCTGGCATGATTGGATCCAATGATCATTATACAAGATTGTGTTTAATATGGTGGCTCATTTCACCACTTTTGGCGTGTTAATGAATTTGCAGGACAATGACAGGTCTACATCTACACTCATCACAATCTACACATCATATAAATGTGAAATGTGAAATGAGAAAAGAGGGATTCCATTTCAAATTTGATGCGTACAGAGCAATTTTGTAGGGGTAAATTTAGAAGATGCCAGTGCGGTCGGTCTGTTGAGCACGAAAGTAAAAATATGTTTTCATTTAAACGGGCCCAAACTGTTATTTGGCCCACTAATCGTGCACCCATCGCCAATGCAGTCAAATTCGGGATTTTGATCGTAAAATCGTAGGATTTTAGGATTTTACTTAGGGATTCCGATCTTGATTTTACTATAAAATCGGTAGACCTTAAAATCGTTTAAAATCGGGACTAAAATCGTTAAAATCATAAAATAGTACCGAAATCGGGATTTTGATCGTAAGAGAACAAAATAGGTGGTTTGAGCCAATTTAAAATAAGTATAACTGTTTCAGCGGAAAGGGCAATGGAATCTTCTCAGATATTTTTCTATTAGAAAAATATTCAAAAATAATAAAAATAACCAAATTAGGGTTCGTTTAATCTCTTTCCCTTCACCCCATTTAACTTATTGGTAAAACACCTGTCCTAATATTGGAAGTATGTAAGAACTAACATCATTATTAACTAATTAATTTATTAATGAATATATTTGTACCAAGCCACTAACATTACTTATTTTATTGGAGTTCAATTATTTTTAGTTTTAAATCATACTTAGTACACGATGTCGAAATATTACTTTGAGTTAAACAACCTAGACATAACATGAAAATAAGAGCCAAACCCATGAACTATATCCCTTCATCATGAATTATTTTGAGTTACACATTAAATAACAATTAAAATAGTGATTTTGGAACATTAATCTTGAGAATTATCTTATGGAAAAAAAATCTTCTGAATTATCATTTTAAATGCTATGTGTCTTTGTGATATTAATAATTTACCTTATTAATATTCTTATATGCTATGTTCTATATGGTACTTAAAATTCTACGATTATACGATTCGATTATACGATTTTGATTTTACCCCAGTTTTCGATTTTAGGTAAAATCTCGATTTTAACTGCTTTGCCCATCGCAGCCTATCCAAATCTTCCTATTCTACTCGCCGGGTCATCTCCTCCACTACAAAATATCTCCTCATGTACTCAAAGTTCTCACTGAAACCTAATATCTACAACTTAGGCGTAGAGGGAGCAACCGATGGATTGTAGCGACCCCCACTATTTTGATAGCTAATCAAGAAGAGCATGTTTGTTTAGTTGTATGGTGATTCACTTAATTAACAATTTTTATTCCGTTGACAGCCTCCTCTCCGCAATTGTATTGTGTTCACGAAGATTTGAAGGCGCAAGTGCAACAGGTCCAGGGGTAAACAATATGTATAAAGCGTTGGCCAAATTGAATTGAGTCATTCTACTTGGAATATGAAGATTTTTGCTTAATTGCTTTGGTTCGTGATGCAACTATATTATGTTTGAAGGTAGACCAACGCAAACAACAGCACAGCTCCAGGGCTATTCTGCACATTAGGTAGTTGGGGCATTAATTGATAATTATTTGGGATTATTCCTACAAGTACATAATTTGGAACGTGCCTTTATATTGCATTGATTAATAGTTGTTTGAGATTTTTCAAATGAGTGATTTGACATGTTAAACTCTCTTATTTTTGAAAATGGAGTCTTCGAAGTGGAATATGAAGATTTTGGATTAAGCCTGGTTTCGTAACGCCCTTATGGGTGTTTATTCTCTAAAATGCAGCTGTCTTTCAAAGGGCCCGTTGCAAATGGCAAGTCAGGATACAACGATGGTACCGGTACACGTTTATATCATTAGTAGGTAGCAGATTGTGTCCATTCTACTATATCATTTAACTATATACTTAGTTGTTATTTTCAACTAAAAATTATGCTTAAATGCTGTGATTGGCCTCAGAAATGTATGTCTTTGTATTAACTGTTAATGATTGTGAGTTTTGGTTTAATGGTGAAAAGTCCATTTATTTAGAAGTCTAAATTGGGCAAACCTATTGGACAATAGGAATGTCATACATTAGTGTCGTGGGAGGTTTGTTTGATGTCTCAGGGTGTTAGATTTTTAAGAAGGTTGTTTGTTGTGGCAGAGAGTCCCTAAAGCTAGCGAGGTATTCCTATGTGGGCTTTTTCTTTGTTTGACTTTTTCTCGCCTTTTTTCTTATCTCTTTTTCTATTTTTGGTTTTTGTGTGCTACCTTCAGTTTCTACGTCTTCATTTGTGAGCCATCTATACTTTCCTTATTCAGTGCCTAAAAATCATATATACTCGATTACATAGTAGTTACTAATAGATACATTTATACCAATAGAGAGATTTTAAGTTTTATCAGTTGTTAGTTTTAATATTTACTTACATTGGTTGTTTATGTAGTTTTCTTTGTAATATTTCTCACTATACAACTAATTACTATGGCTACGTAGTTGTATAAGTGGGGGTTGGACATGATAGTTCTTAGAAGCATCAATACTTGAAGGTTATTATAATGACCAAATTCTAAAGTTATGGTTTGCCTTCAACTTGCTTGGAGCATTTCAATTATGCATCAATTGTTCTCTCCGTGTAGTTAACTCTCAGACAAATCGAAAATCTTGCTGATATGTGCTTGATTGTAGTTAAATTTAGGGTTCTACTGCATTGTTGCTTTACTCTTTTTTCGTGGTTGAGTCAGCTTCAAAAAATTTAGTTTGATTTTAG